GAAATCTGATTTATCCCTTTGCCCATAGAAAGGGACCCAAACTAGTTTGGGTTCCTAAGACTAACCCCTGATTTCGTTTTGCAGGTCCAAGTGAAAGGAAGTAGCCAAATATGGTACATGGATAGTGGCTGCTCAAAACATATGACTAGGAGCAAGGACCAATTGCTTTCACTTGAGGACTTAAAAGGAGGTAATGTCTCCTTTGGTAATGGAAAGAAAGGTGAGATCATTGGGGTTGGAAAGGTAGGTAAGACAGACTCTCACTTCATTGAGAATGTCTACTTGATAGATGGCTTGAAATATAGCCTGATCAGTGTGTCACAACTGTGTGACAAAGGTAGCCTTGTAGCATTCACCTCTACTAAATGCTTTGTGATTAATCTTACCACTGACAAGATTGTGTTGCAGGGAAAGAAAGTTAACAATATTTACATTGTAGATTTGTCTACTCTCTCAGAAATTGAACTCACTTTCCTAAGTGTCATGCAAGTCTAAATCAGCTACACAAATTAGTCTCTAAGGACTTGGTGATAGGGTTACCTAATATCAAGTTCAAGGAAGACAAAGTTTGTGAGGCATGTGCAAGGGGGAAGCAGGTAAGATCATCCTTCAAAAGCAAGAAAATGGTAAGTACAACCAAGTCGTTGGAACTGGTCTATATGGATCTATGTGGTCCAATGAGAACCATGAGCAGAGGTGGAAAGAAATATGTAATGGTGCTTGTTGATGATTATTCTAGATTTACCTGGGTTCTATCACGCCCCAAACCGAGGGACATGACCGGCGCCCAACCGGGTAGCCCCAGTCAAGCGGACCTGGGTGCCTTTCCTATCCCACGTGTTACCCCGTATTTTCATTGCTCATTAATCAAGGAGTTAGCCATTTATAATTAAAACACCTTTTTACAAAACATACATGGTTAATTAATGAGGTTTACCACTTTCGCCGCCCAACATACAAAATATGGATTTACATCAATTCATAACCCACATTTGCTATTTACGGAGCCTCTAAAGATACAACAGGATAATACAGTACTTGCCGGTAACAAGGCTCCGTCTATACCTTACACAAAAAAAAACCAAAATGAGACTCCGGAATAAAAGTGGCATGAGCCACGCAGGGCCCCGAGAGGAAAGGGGCTCACCAATACAGCTGACGGAAGATGAAGGGGAGCTACGGTCGGTGGGCTGGAGTACCTGCTACGGATCCACCTACAATTATAACACGAATTTAGCGCCCCCGACAAAAAGGACGTCAGTACATTTGAATTGTACTGGTATGTATAAACAAACTTTGCCCTGAGTAACCTCAAACCATACACGAGTGACAAATGGTAAAGGAATCAACAATTAAATACGCATGAAAGGAAACAAGGCAAACAAGTTGACAATCTCTCCTTTTCCCCATCAACATTTTCACATCAATGATTTCACACTTTTTCTCATATTTTCATTTCAATAGTGATATCGATCACTTTTCACCCTTATCACCTCGGCCACCCTTATTACCTCGGCCACCCTTATCACCACAACCCACACCTTATTACTTCGTGTTACGGCGCGCAACCCGATCCTACCGAACAATCACAATTCACAAACAATACCACAACAAATACAATTCACAAAGAACAACAAAAATTCTCAAGGAACAACAACAACAATTCTCAAAGAGCAACAACAATAATATACAAGAACTTCCATAGACATCAATACCATTTTCATCGTATTCCACATCTCATATGCTTTTTATGTTACAACGAGAATTTTCCCCGACAAGCCATATATGTTATTACCAGAGCTGTTCCAATTGCATCAATCACTACTACAAAAAAGACCTTTGGCGGCAATTATTTAGCGGCAATAAGGCAATGGTCGCTAATAAATTCTTTAAGCTTAAATATTAGCGGCATATGACCATTAGCCAGTAAAAGATATCCTTTTACCGGCAATAAAAAATAATAGCCACTAAAAATTACTAATAATAATTAATCTTTTATCATTTTAACTTTCCCCCCGCACAAAGAAGAGAAAATCTTTCCCTCCAATTTTTTTTATACCTTTTTTCGTTTCTCTCCCCAATTAGAATTAGAAAATAACAGAAGGAAAACATTAAATCGTTCTAGTTGAATCAACTTCACTACCAAAAAGCCCTAACTCGCTGCTGCATCAAGGCCAGTGCGCGGAAACTTCACTCCCAAAAAGCCCTAACTCGCTGCTGCATCAACGCCAGTATGCGGAAATGCCAGTGCGATTTATAGTGCGTCAACTATTGTGCACATCTTCTTCCCAGGTAAATTATTTCTCTTCGATTTTACAATTGATTTACAGAAGATCAGTTCAATATTTACAGAAGACAGTGCGTCAATGGCAGTGTTAACTTCTCTTCGTCCAATCAATTTACAGTAGATTTTGTATTGATGCCGGTCGATTGATTTACAGCAAATCAGTTCCTAACTCGTTGTTGCGTCAACAACCTGTTGTAGTGCCGGTCCATCTTCTTCCCCTGTTAACTTCTCTTTTTCCCCTGTTAAATCAGTCGCCTGTAATCGATTTACAGTAGATTTTGGATTGATGCTTGTCAGTTGATTTACAATAGATTCTGTGTAATTTAATCTAGTAAAAGTCATGTTATATGGCTGTTCTCAGTATTTTTTTGGTCTATATTTCTTGTCCAATAAAATCTGTATTCTGTAGATATTGCAAAAATAAGAATCAGACAGTGTTCTGCTGTAACTATAAAGGAATGAAATCCGGTGCCTTAGCATTAAGCTTACTGCTTGAACCTACTTTTGACGAGCTACTAATTCTAGGCAGTGTAGGCGAGCCAACCATTTGCTCCAATATGGGTGAATTATGAAAGTGTTAGTGTGGAAATGGAAGTGTTAGTGTGGAAATGGAAGTGTTAGTGTAGCTGGAGTGTTATATAAATGGGTGAATTATGGGAAAGGATGGCGTGCGAGATGGTTCGTGCTTGAAGATGGGGTGTTGTCCTATTATAAGGGTCATGGACCGGATAAAATTGCTATGGGTCCAGGGAAAGAAAAGGGGTTAAAGGTTATCGGGGATGAGTCTTGGAGGTATATGAGGAAGGCTAACAATTGACCGTATGGATCCAACAAGTGGAAACCATTTGGGGAAATACATTTGAAGGTAGATGTGTGTGTGTGTGTGTGAATGCACCACAAATACATACAGTGAATAATTTAAAAACTATGGGAATGCACCTGATCAAGCATATCCTTGTTTATTGTTTACTTTTGACTTAACTTTTAAGTTAGTTTGTTAGATACTTGTGAGTTAGCCTTTTCGAACACTTATGGAATGTAATCTTGAAATTTAAGTTGTTGTGCAACTTGGGCAATGCATCAATTTGTATATTTTAAGGATTGCATTGAAGTTTATCTTAGAAATGTGAACTTTGATTTATCAGTCTGTAGATAGGAAATTAGTGTCAAAGAGTCTGGACCATAGGACATGGATGCTCAGAAATGCACCATTAAGATAGAAATCAAGAAAATTTGACTTAATTTTCAGCTTCTGTTCTCATATATTGTAGCTTAGGTCATCAGAGCAGAAGACAAAAGTTTGTAAAATTTGTTGCATGCATATAACTATTGATTGAGGAACGTAAATCTTTTACTAGATAAAATGTATGCTGGGCGAAGGAAATGAAGAATGATAACCTTAAGAGGAATAGTCCGATATCAAATGTCTAATCTGTTTGTGTGTGAGGACAGATAAGGTATGATTTGTTTACTACCAGAGTATCTTATTGTCCAACATATGAGAAGTGAATAAATCATCTCGTATTTCTTTTCTGGTTGCTGATCCGCCATATCTGCCCTGTGTCATAAGTTCCTACAGATTCTGGATCACTCTTCCGTAGTTAATTCTTGTAATTTTCAACCATACTTAATGTGATTCATAAATTATCCTGTACAGATTATGGAAGTATGCCTGTATCTGTCAAATTACCTCTACTTGTGTAGGCTGTGGGTATATATATTCTGATCAACTAGCAAACCTACAATAATATGTCATACAGGTCTCCTCAGAATTGCTCCAGCTACTAATCCTCCTGAAAGGCTGTCGCATGTTCCTCTTCACTTTCTTGATCATCTTCCTCAATTGACTCCACAAGACTCCAATGACTGTGTTGGAACTTCAAAAATAGAGGTGTTTAATGTAACCTCCGTGCAACAAGATTTTAGAGGAAGAGGTAATTGTGAAAAAGTGAAGCCAACCCCCTAAAACTTGTGCACTTAATCTACAAGAGTCGCTAGATATAGGATGGGAGATTATATCTCTCCTTATTATAAGGAGGCCATGGATTTCTCTCCTTATTAAAGAAAGGACAAGTCAACTTCATTATATGTTATATTTCCCATATAACCTGTTAATTTTACCGATTCTGTTCTTATTCCATGACTCTATTGCCTGTGTTATTCTGCTATCCCTTCAACTACTGACTAGAGGATAGTTGTATAAGGCTAGAAAGTGGAGCCTTTAGTATACCAATTACTATTTTGTTTAATTATACCAATTACTTGGTATTGTTATTTGTTAGTAACTAGTACCTTCCTTTATTGCTCGCATTCATCTCTCTAGAAATCTTTTTGCCTGTACATATCTTCTATGGAAGCTAATCCTTTAAATGATGGAAATTTGATATCTGGTGTTCTTCGTTTTATGTGTATTCTCCTCCTTTAGAAGGATATGCTTCCGGGAGCTATGAAAAGGCAAGACTACGTTTTGCTCATGCAGAAACTCTACTTCCATTTTCATGCTTGCTTGGGCTCTTTCTTGAAGAATCTGGTGAGTGTTTATCAATAGGATTATTTTAGGCTTCTACTGCCTCCAGTTTCTTAATCAATTTTATACACTGAATGTTGCAGAATTTGAACTAATACAAAGAGAGGAGACGTTGCAATTCCCTCCTAAGCCTCCTGCAAAGAGAAACTGGTGGGAAGTATAGTGACACCTTTTGCTGGAAATAACATGCTGGTCCTTTACAGCTGCGTGTCAAATAACTCAAGCAAGTACTTTGTGAAAGTGTTGCACAATGAACGTCCGATTCCTATTCCAGTAAGTTTTCTGATCACATTCTTTTGAACATGAACCGTAGGTTGTTTCACCATATTATTATTCAACATCATTGCATTTTGAGCATCCTTAATAATTTGTTCGACGTGAGGAGTATAAAAATGAAGTGTTGGAACATCTCCATCAGTTACCATTTAAACCTTTCCTTGTCATTATACCGTTATTTAACTGACTTAACCATATAAGTTTTTGCCATTTGATGACCTTTGAATCTTCTATTCTAGGTATTTGGATTTCAATAAGTTTAGATTTCCAATGTTTGCAATAAATTGGTCTACTGATATTTGTTAATATTGAGCTTGTTTTTCAATATACAGTGAATAGCATGTAATTAAATTAAGATTTCCACTTTCTGCGATGAATCTGTCAGCTGGTATCTGGTAAAATTATTTCTGTTCTCTACTTGTCTACATTTTGATAGCTTCCAACTTCAGTTTTGTCCAGGCACAATTAATTGACGATCTTTTATATGTTGTACCGAAGAAATGTTCTCAATTTGAGCACCAGAGTGTTAAGAATAACTATAATTTTCTAAAGTTTTCTTCATGTTTTACTGGCATCCTTAGGTCATCCATGATGTAGATCGGCAGAAGGTTCCTATGCGTTTTATTATTACAAGTTCTGGATTAGTAGGATCTGATGGTCCTACACAATGTGGGGCGTTTGATATAGCATTTATGTCCTGTTTGCCAAACATGATTGTGATGGCTCCTTCTGATGAAGTTGAGCTTTCTCATATGGTTGCAACTGCTGCCCTTATTGATGACCGGCCAGTTTGCTTCCGCTACCCTCGCGGCGCCCTTTCAGTGACGGACCATTCCTCTGGTAGTGGAATTCCCATTGAGGTAATATTTCATCAAAGACATCTAGAAAAGTTCTGACTCGTTCATAACAAAATAGTTTAGAGCAGGTTTGGTATGCATTGTTAACCATATACTTTTACTTTAAGTTATGTGACATATTTAAGTAGTTTATCCGACAATCACTTGTTTGGATAACATGATCAGTCTACGTAAAACAATCAAAATACCCCTTTGTATTTGAATTTAATTAGTTAGAGATTTAGTCCACCTTGCTTGAATATTGCATTTATACACTTGTTATTTGGTGATCGAGGAGCAGGTTGGCAAAGGGAGAATACTTACAGAGGGTAAAGATATTGCTTTACTTGGCTATGGTTCCATGGTACAAAATTGTCTTAGAGCTCAATCTCTTCTTTCAAAGCTAGGTGTTGAAGTGACTGTCGCTGATGCAAGGTTCTGCAAGCCCCTTGACATAAAGCTACTTAGACACTTATGCAAAAACCATTCCTTTCTAGTTACAGTCGAGGAAGGCTCTATAGGAGGATTTGCTTCACATGTTGCACAGTTCATGACTCTATTGCCTGTGTTATTCTGCTATCCCTTCAACTACTGACCTTTGAATCTTCTATTCTAGATATTTGACTTTACTAAAATACTTCATAGATGAGACTATACATACTTTTGGGACATTAATGAAGCAGATTCTTGCAATTTTGCTTGTGTCCCTTTCTGGTTATGGACTTTTAGTTTCATAACCTCGCAAACTATGATCAACTTTGTTGTTTGGCAACATTTACTTCCTATTGACATAGTTATTTTATAATTTCAGGTCATACAGTTTAGCGGGTGGAAGATTTCAATATGACGAAGAGTTTTAGAGATTATTTGAAGATTGTTATTCGTTAACATTAGTTATATAATGACATTAGCTATTTACTTCAAACAATCTGAGTTATTTTTTAAGGTTTTGTGATATTAATATTTTGGATTAGTACTTCCTTTTATTTGTTAAGATTTAACGAGATATACTATAGTTTTATGAATTAATATCAATATGTTTTGTTATTTGCATTATTTTTTGGTCGAATGTAGTACATATTATTAATGGTGGCTAAACTTACCGTTATAGCTTGTGAATTTTAGTGCCAATTTAACAGGATTAAGACGTTTATACAGGGATATTGTAACCATTATATTCCTATTAAAGATGATTTTTAGCGGCAATTTAATTGACTTTACTATCCATTAAAATGGACGCTAAAGGGGCATACTAATACGTTTTTAGAAGAGATATTGTTGCCACTTTAATTGCCACAAAATAATTACCGCTAAATGTATGGACTTTTAGCGACAAATATTTTGAATTTAGCGGCTATAAAAATGGACGTTAAAGGTGCATTATTAGTGGTTTTTAGAATGGGTTTAGCAGCCATAATAATTGCCGCAAACAGTTGCCGTTAAAGCAGATGAGTTTTAGCGGCAATAAGTCATACCTTTTACCAGCTTTTGGCAGAAATGCCGCTAAAGGCTTTATCGACCCCGGCATCACCGGCTAAAGATCAATTGCCGGTAAATGATATAGCGGCTATTGTTATTGCCGTCAATGCTGTTTTTATTGCCGCCAAAGACCTTTTGTAGTAGTGAATTACCATTTTGCTTCCATCATTTGTTTCACAATTCTTACCACATAGCACATTTACAATCACACACTTGGTTTATTGCCATTTACTTACATCATTATATCGAGAGACATAACCACGAACACTCAACCATACCAATCACGAGAATTTCACAGACAACCCACGTAGAGATCACATACCAAACACTCAAACACCAAACAAGGTGATTTTACAAAGGCCGAAGTTAGCCATACATAATTCCCTTTTAATTTCTACATTCAACTTCACCAAAAAGCCTAGCAACGTCAATCTAGTGCATAAATTAATACATATTTCTTAGAATCAAAGTTCCCAATCACTACCTGAACACATTTGGATTATCAACCCTCCTTTGTACAATCCTTTGCTCCTACCCAATCCCTCTTACCAGATTTTAGATTTTAAAAGACATGCATGAATTTTTCAACCTCTATTATCAAGAATCAATGCATGAGACTTCCTCCCCCCCCCCCCCTTAATTAAACCTGAAAATTAATAAAAATGGGTTAGGGATTTTACCTGCAAGAATGGGGATGAAGACACTCACTTTGAAATTTTCTGGCCCGGTTAGTTTTGAAGAATCAATTTGAAGAAGATGAACTCTCTCTCAAGAACCCTCTCTTCCTCTCTCTTATTTTGTTCAGAAAGGTTGTAAAAATGGGGGGTTGGGAGGGTTGGGATGTTTTATTAAAAAGGGGATCGGGTTTAAAATTTAGAAAAAAAGTACCCGAGTCAGATATGCGGTCGCACTTTGCGATCGCAGAGACGAAATGCGGTCCGCAGAATGGACCGCAAAAGTGCTCCAAAAATCTGATTCTACTGTTTGGGTTTGCGGCGGAAATGCGGTCCGCATACACGATTTGTGATCGCATAATACACCGCATTTTTTACCACAAATTTGCCTGGCACATGGACTTATTTTGCGATAGAAATGCGGTCCGCATATCAGTTATGCAGTCGCATAATGGACCGCATTTTGACCTTAATTTTAACCAAACCACTGACTCAATATGCGGCAGAAATGCGGTCCGCATACTTGATTTGCGACCGCATTCTGGACCGCAAAATGGCACTTTTCTGGAAAAACTTGATTCTTTGATTTTTAAATACTAAGATCAGTTCAATGGGTCCGAACCGCGGCGAGCTTGCGAGTTTTACACATTCCCAACACATACTCGGAACCTGACCCTACGAGCTACTAGGTTTTGAGCACAAATTTTAACGGGGCCTTACATCTGATCATGGAACTAAATTTGAAAATTCCAAGTTTGCTGAATTCTGTGATGAAAATGGTATAGATCATAATTTCTCTGCCGCTAGGACTCCTCAGCAAAATGGAGTAGTTGAAAGGAAGAATAGGACTCTTGAGGACATGGCTAGAACCATGCTGCTTTCTAGTAAATTCCCCACAGCTTCTGGGCAGAGGCTGTAAACACTGCATGTTACATAATCAATAGATGCATGACTAGACCTCTGGTAGAGAAGACTCCCTATGAGTTACTTAAAGGGAGAAAACCAAACATATCCCATCTTAGGGTATTTGTTTGCAAGTGCTATGTGCACAATAATGGAAAAGACTCCCTAGGCAAGTTTGATCCCAGAAGTGATGAGGGAGTATTCTTGGGATATTCTTCACATAGCAAAGCATATAAAGTGTTCAATAAGAGAACTCTGTGTGTAGAAGAAAGTGTACATGTAGTATTTGATGAAACTAACATTCTTTCTGAGAGACAGGAACATGAAGATAAAGCCATTGGATTGGTAAAAGACTTGACTGAAGCCTCAGCACAAGTCAAAGTGGGACCAACAGAAGGAACAGGTGATGGAACAGGTTCTTCCACCCAGGGCAACATGACATGGGGAACTAATCAAAGAGGAATCGAAATAAATCCCTCAAAGGAACCTGTTCATGAGCTTGTTCCTCAGCAACAGAGCATGGGAGAAACATCTAACAGAAACCAGTTGGTTGTGAAACCTCACAAGTATCAAAGTTCTCATCCCATTGAGAACATTATTACTGATCCAACATCTGGAGTTAAAACTAGATCACAATTAAAGAATATGTGTGCTTTTGATGCCTTTTTGTCTATTATTGAACCTAAAAATGTTGTTGAGGCTTTGCAGGATGCATATTGGGTGATTGCTATGAAAGATGAACTCAACCAATTTGAAAGAAGTCAAGTTTGACATCTAGTTCCAAGACCCAAGGACAGATCAGTCATTGGTACAAAATGGGTCTTTAGAAACAAACTTGATGAAGATAGAACAGTTACAAGAAACAAGGCAACACTGGTGGTCCAACGGTATAGCCAAGAGGAAGGCATAGACTATGATGATACTTTTGCTCCAGTTGCAAGACTAGAGGCAATCAGACTCCTTATAGCCTTTGCAGCACACATGGAATTCACTCTTCATCAAATGGATGTCAAAAGTGCCTTCCTTAATGGGTACCTGAAAGAAGAAGTTTTTGTAAAACAACCTCCAGGGTTTGAGAGCAAGGAATGTCCTGAGCATGTGTACAAGTTAGACAAGGCTCTCTATGGGCTCAAGCAAGCACCAAGAGCATGGTATGAAAGATTGTCCAAATTCATGCTGGAGTATGGTTACAAAAGAGGTAAAATTGATAGTACCTTATTCTTAAGGGAAAAAGGTAAGGATCTGCTTGTTGTGCAAATATATGTCGATGACATAATCTTTGGGGCCACTATTGATAAGCTAAGTAAGGACTTTGCAATTAATGGGAAGTGAGTTTGAAATGAGCATGATGGGTGAGCTTAACTTCTTCTTAAGCTTACAAATCAAACAAAGTCCAAATGGAACCATGATCCACCAACAGAAGTATGCAAATGAGCTAATCAAAAAGTTTCAAATGGAAGAATCAAAGGAAATAGACACACCCATTGCAACTGCTACTAAATTAGATGTTGATGAACCTGGTTCATCAGTTGATCAAAAGTTGTATAGGGGTATGATTGGTTCACTTCTGTATCTTACTGCTAGTAGAGCTGACATTGTTTTCAGTGTAGGACTTTTTGCTCGCTTTCAGGCAAATCCTAAAGAGTCTCACCTGACTGCTGTCAAAAGGATACTAAGATACTTGAAAGGCACCACTGATTTGTGTCTTTGGTATCCCAAAGGTAGNACAGAACCGAAACTAGGAACTCAACCCAAACCCAGAAAGGTTAAGAGGTACTAAAGACTAAGGACTAATACCAAAAAGTTACGTAAATAGGAGAAAGTACAAGGAAAAAGAGAACGACACCCACTTAGTCGACTACGTCTACTTTAAAGAAGTTTTAGNGTTTTAGAGTGTAACACGGGTTTTCAGTCAGTTGGTATCAAAAGTTAGTATAGGGGTATGGATTGGTTTCTACGTCCTGTAGACTTTACTAGCTAGTAGACCTGACATTGTTTTCAGTGTAGGGGCTTGTGCTCGCTTTCAGCGAAATCCTAGAGAGTCTACACCTGACTGCTGTCAAAAGGATACTAAGATACTGAAAGGCACCACTGATTTGTGCTTTTGGATTCCCAAAGGTTAGCAATTTTAATCTAGTTGGATATGCTGATGACTGAGTTATGCAGGTTTTCTAGTGGATAGAAAGAGCACCTCAGGTATGGCACACTTCCTTGGTTCATGTCTTGTGTCATGGGCTACCAAAAAGCAAAACTCAGTGGCCCTATGTACTGCTGAAGCTGAGTATGTTGCTGCTGCATCTTGTTGTGCTCAATTACTATGGATCAAACAGCAGTTGGTAGATTTTGGTATTGAAGTGGTTGTATTCCAATATTCTGTGACAACACTAGTGCTATAAGTATGACAAAGAACCTTGTTCATCATAAGAGAACTAAGCACATAGATGTTAGACACCACTTCTTAAGAGACAACTATGAGAAAGGATTGATCTCCATAGAATTCTGTGCTACTGACAAGCAAATTGCTGACATTTTCACTAAAGCACTGAGTAGAGAAAACATTGAGAGGAACAGGTTGGAATTAGGGATGATTAAGATCACCTAATAGGTGCAGTTCAGAATGCACAATGAAAAAAAATTGAAAAAAAAATTTGGTTAGGAGTTCAAACTTTTGTAAATATCTAGATTAATTCTTACTCAGTTTCATACTTTAATTAGTATACTCCTGTGACATGTGTATATATGACTCACTGATCTCTTACAAAGTTTTTTCTATTATGG